TGATCACGTGATCATGGGAATGCTGTAATGGTTGTAAATGTGAAAAAATGGTCATAAGTCACTTTTTCAGTGACGTTGTAACTTTAAACGGTCACTAAACAAATTATTATAAGTCAGTGACTACATAGGCTTTCAACATGTCTCACATCAGATTCCCAAAAATGCTGATTTAAGCTTAAATGAACCTTAAAATAAATGTATGGGCTTGGTGAGGTAAGTTGGACCATAATTTCTGCTTAAACTGCTTATAGAAACAGTAACGATGAAATACTTTTAAGTCCCATTAATTTCAGTTGGCAAGAATTCAAACACTTTTAATATGTCATTGAAATTAATGAAACTGAAACCTGTATCAGGTTAGATTATACTGGCGCACTTGCAGTGTTACTGCCTTAGTTATATTTATTTTATCCATTAATGAATCACATGGAAAGAAAGAAGTGACAGGAGGGAAAGGACATATGTAAAGTTTAAAATTGAGTTGCTTTTCTCCACAGCCATTACATTTCATGCAAATCTCTTTATTTGGTTGTTGGTTTCCTTTCCTGCGATATCCGTGGAATGTACGAAATATTGCAGAAATATAACGTCTGAAAATATATTGTGGAACTTCGTAGAAATACTTACATTTTCCGTTTTACGATTTTAGCCCAGAGAGAAAGGACGGATGAGATTTCATAGACTACAGAATGTCCAAATTGCACTTGATTATTTGAAAAGGCGACAGGTAAGATATCACATTTAAGAAACAAAACTGAGACATTAATTTTTGAAATAACATTTTCTCCATTTTTCTCTTTGTGTTACAGTATTTATGACCTACCATATTGGCAATGTTAATCTGATTGGCTGTCCTTAGGGATTCTAATGTTCTTCATCAAGCTTTTTTCTTTAGCAAAGTACTGAATCATAGATCATCTTGATCTGGTTTTGCTTTTTCTCCTTTCAGTATTACTAATGTTTCTGATTCTGTAGCTCAGAAGAAAAAGGAAACAAAGGACTGCACATCAGAGTATGGGAATTCTGCTTTAGATTTAAATCTCATCTACAGAAATAACTAACTAAATAAATAAATGTTGGCAAACTCAGCGCAATTGCTGAATATTTGTGAATAGGATTGCTTTGTTAATAGGTTATATTCAATGAACATACATGAGGAAAAAAAAAGAAAAGAGGAAAAAGAAAGAAAGACCTTCAGGTTCTTGTATGCATTAATCCAATTAATTCCAGTTATTTTAAAAGGGGAGAGAAAAAAAAGGGGAAAAAATTAACAATAAATGAAAATAAAAGTCTTCAGGTTCTTCTTTACCTTAATCCGATTAACTGGAATGGAATGACATCCTCCAACAAAGAAAAAAGGGGGGAAAAGTATATCTGTTTATGTGTCCAGAAGAAAGCAGGAAAGAAATACACCTTTAAAATAAAAAAAACACCAGAATTCTTCTCCAAGAGGCCTCAATCCAATTAGGAATAGCTATGCGAGGGGGAGAGTAGAGAAATAACATTAAAAAAATAAGAGAAAATAAACAAATAGAACGGGCTATCAGAAGAAAAAAAAGAAAAACACTGCCACTATATAGAGTCCAAGGCTCTTTGTTAAGTTCCAGGCAAAGTTAACAATTCTCTTTCCATGGTCACTGCAATCTTCTTTCTTTCAACTCCATGCTTTCTTTTAACTCCAGATTCCAATCACTGATAGTATCCCAGAAGAGCACATGTGTAAGCAATCTTCCATGCTCATCCCACTATCATCAATAAACACGCTCGGAGTCCTTGAAATGTAGCACCAGCTCTTAACTTTGCTCAAAATTATCAAACACTCAAACACAGAAAAACAACAACAATGTTTCCAGGCCTCTGGGTGGCAGTGTTACTTATTTTCCTCTACTTTCACTTCCCTCCTTATATTCAAAACAAAATGAAAAGAGAATTGATTAAAAAAAACAACAGGGTGTTGAAAAAGGAAATAGAAAGAAAGTCTTAAACAATGAAAATTATTCTGTAGTTATTTGAAAAAGAGAAGTAGAAGAGAAAAAAAAAAACAGTCCGGTTTAGGAAATAAAAAGTGTTTGTAAAAATTCCAGCAATAAAAGAATAATAAAAAAAAAAACCACACTAAGTTAGACTCAGGCTTAATCTCGCCGCTTGACCTCTTCTGTCTTCGATTTTAACTTTACTTTCAGTCTTTTAGGGTGTTCTCTCAACTAATAATAAATAAACATTATCTCACCAAACGGACATCTTTTCTCTCCAGCCTTTCTTCCATTCAGGAGCTGTCCCAACTTTCAGCAGTTTTAAGCTGCTTCTCTGTTGCCGGAAAAAAGGGCTTCTCCTGGATCTACCAGGGACTTTGCGATGTCCCTGGGATCAGCAGGATGTGCCCGTCTCTATCACTGTCTCTACGGGACGGTTTAGGTCCCGAAGGACCGTCCAGCGGCAGAGATATCGACGGCGATCTTGGAACAGCCCTGCCTCCCGCCTCAGAGTTACAAAGTTACCTTGAACAGCACACCAGCAACTAAATCAGGGTTCCCCAACATCAACTCCCAAGGTTGATGGAAATACAGGTAGTCCTTGACTTAAAACAGTTTAGTGATCTCTTCAAAGTTACAGTGGCACTGAAAAAGGTGAAATGATCATTTCTCACATTTATGGTCACGTGATAACATTTAAATGCTTGGCAACAGACTCCTATTTATGACGGTCGCAGTGTCTCGGAGTCATGTGATCACCTTTTGTGACCTTCTGACAAGCAAAGTCAATGGGGAAGCCAGATTCACTTTATACCTATGTTTCTAACTTAACAACTTCAGTGAGTCACTTGACAACTTTGGCAAGAAAGGTCATCAAATGTGGCAAAACTGTTAATAAGTGTCTCACTTAGCAACAGAAATTTGGAGCTCAATTGTGCTTGTAAGTCAAGGACTACTTGTATCCCCAGGATCTGGGATAGGCTGATGTTGTTTGATAATGTATTGTCTCAGGATGTAAGCTGTCCCGAGCAAAATTGCCTTTTGCAATTAATTGATGGTGATTTTGTCAGTGCTGGTGGTGTTCAAGTGATGATGATGATGATTTGCAGTACTATTAATTAAAAGTAGCATTTATTAAATTATTTTCAGATAATGTTTGAGGGTCAGTGAACAATCTGGAACTTCATGAAGAGGTCTATGAGCTGAAAGTTTGAGGAACGTTGAATTAAATAGGCAATCCTTATGAAAATGAAAAGAAAAAAAGCTCCAGGCAGGAGAAAAGATAATATTGCTCTGCTTTCCCTTGTTAAGATTTAGATTCTATGTTTAGCAAGGATTCTGGATTCCAAGAAATATTTGGGGTGAAGGTTATATTCGTAGCAAAAACGAATTGAAGTGGAAGAAACGAAGTAGTAAAAAACCAAATCAACATATAATTCAAAAACCATAAAGATACATTTGGAATATTGGGGGAAGCCTGCCCACAAGCAGGGAGCTGTGCTGAGTTATATGCCACATACCTCCCAGCGACCAATAAGATCTCACAGGTTGGGCCTCCTCCGGGTGCCGTCGGCCGGACAATGCCGGCTGGCGGCCCC